AGGGTGAATCAGCCCGTTCACGTAGAACGGCGTGTAGCCGGTAGACGAATGCACAGCACTGTTTAGTGCGCACTCTACGAGTGGCAACGTGGCGCTCCAGCTCCTCGGCGTCTCAGCGCAGACGCTGCGATGAACGTCTTCGATGACGCGATTCACCTTTCGGTTTGACCATCGGTCTGCGGATGATCCGCCGCCGACATATCCATCTTGGTGCCAAGCACCTTAAAGATAGTCGACCAAAATCCTCCCGTGAAACGGGGGTCTCTTTCAGAGACAATCGATTCTGGGAGTCCGTGTTGTCGAAAACACGAACTACAAGCAGCGTTGCTGTACCGACTCCGTCGATGGTGTCTGGCACCACCGCCAACTGAGCCATCTTGCTCTACCGGTCGACGAATACCATGACACCCGTGTTGCCCGCCGAATCTTTCGGCAGGCCAAACACAAAGTCTAAGCTCATGTCTGCCAGCACCCAGGGGGTACTGGTAAACTGGCCAGCGGCGAAGCCGCATTTGAAGAGGGTTTCACCGGTTGATACGTCTCACACGTGCACACATAGGTGCTCGTCCATTTGTACAACTTGGGCCACCAATAGTGGTGACTCAGAGAGTTGTACGTTTTCTCACGACCGAGATGACCACTGAGTGGCGTGTCTTGAGCCTCATAGAGGATGCGGTATTTTAATTCCTTCTCAGGAGGACCCTTAATTCGTGGTGTATCCGTTGAATCGATGCTATATTATTGCAACCCGTTATTCGACGAATATCGGTGCAATCGTGCACGCAGTCTTTGTGACAATTTCTTGTCCGAGTTTCCAAATTCCTTACTCCCTAGCGCCCGTAGACACGCTACACACCTCTAATCACCCGCATACGCGGTACGGATCAAATATGTCACAGACGACGTTACAGTTGTAACATGAGCAAGCTTATAGTCTGGTCTACGTGACAACGCGTCAGCCAAAGCATTCTGCTTTCCCGGCTTATACTAGACCTCGAACTAATATTTCGCAAAGAAGGATAGCCATCTTGTCATCCTCTGCGATGGTGGGGCGACTGAGTCGCAGTGCGTAATGACGCATGATCTGTATAGATCACAAACGGCTTGGAGCCAAGCAGGTGGACCCTGAAGTTGACAAGTGCATACTTCATCGCAAGTAGCTCCTTGTCATGAACTAAGTAGTTCTTCTCTGCAGCTTTGAGCTGTCGAGATTTGAACGCGATCACTCGATCTCACGCCTCGGCGTCTGCTAGCAGCAGTGCACAGACGATGGCAAAGTCCGAAGCGTCACAGACGACGCTAAAAGGACGATCAGGGTCTGTCAATGCCAGAATTGGCGCATGCAGGAGGCTGTCGTTGACCCCGTCAAAAGCCTCCTGATGTTCGATGTTCCAACAGCATTCCACATCCGTTTTAAGAAGATTGGATCATGGCCGGGCCATGTCTAAATAGTTTCGCTGTACTTGTGCAAGTAATTGGCAAGACCAAGCCACTAAAACAGGTCCTTCTGATTCTTTGAAACCGGCCAGTCTACAATGACCTTGGACATAGCAGGATCCACTCGAAGGCCACGTTTCCCAATGAAGCACCCTAAAAAGGGAATCTCTTCTGCGCCAATGATGCATTTATCTGCATTGGCGTACAGTTTGTTAGTGCGCATGCTCTCGAGCACCGCTCTTAGATGGACAATGTGGTTCTCCTCATCCATCCACCCGTGCTCCGCACGATGTGAACGAAAATGTCGTCAAAGTATGTCTGTGTATACGCCCTGCGGGGCCTGAACAACTGCGTCACAAGACGGTTAATGTTGCTGGTGAATTTGACAGCCCTTGGGGCATCACCAGCCACTCCCAGAGCATGCTGCTCGGAGTGCTTACCAATGTCAGCGGAATTTCACTCGCTCTCATAAGCGATTGGTAATACCCATCGACCAAGTCAAGTGCACTGTACTTCGTATATCTCACCATGTTGTTCTGAAGAACATCCTTCCTAGGATTTGGCGTCTGTGCCGGGATGCTGGCAGCGTTGAGCTTATTGTAGACATGAACGATACGCCACTTGCCGATCGGCTTCCGAAAACAAAACGTGGGTGTCGAATGAGGAGACTTGCCTCCAGGTACCATTCCTGCGTCGTGCTTTGCACAAAAAAAGGCGTCAATGACGTCGCACTGCTCCTCGGGCAAGGGCCATTGGCGTGTTACGCAGTATTTGGTTCCCGAAAGCAGGTCGATCTCATGACGCACACCTCGGTCTGGAGATAGAACCGAAAACGGGTCTTTGGAGACGACGTCTTAAAACTCCTTCACCAAAGGATAGAACGGATCTAAGGGGTTCCGTAGGATCGACGATCCACTCCGTGCGTTCATCACTCTCTTGGTGTCTTCCAAAACAGCTTCATTCAGAAGCGATGACGAATTTATCA